TAGAGCAGACGCAGCAGTGGACTCAAAAGAGGGGTCAGTGACGACAGTAGCAAGCAGACGCGTGACAGTAGGACTGGCAGCGCGAAGAGAGTCCGACTCAGGGTCGGCAAGCGCAGGAAGAGAGGACTCAGGAGGAGAAGGCAAAGGGGCACGCAGAGGAGCAGTGGACGGACGCAGAGACATCCGGTGCGTGCCAGGGACAGGAGGAGGACGCTGACGCAAACCGCGACCACTAGCGCGAGCAGCACGAACAGGCGACGCGGGACGAGACGCAGGCTCACGACGCTCAGCAAGACCTCCAGTAGGACCAGTGTAAGGAGAGGGAGCAGGCAGAGGAGAGGAAGGCTCCAACAGTGACTGCGACTGGACAGGCGGTGGACACTCTACCGAAGGAGAAAGACCAAGAACCTGCTGTAGGAGCGGAACGAAGTACGGCCGAGGCCGCGCGGCAGCTCCAGACTCAGCAGGGACAGCACCAGCACCCTCAGCGACAGCACCAGCGCCACCCACACCTCCAGCGGTAGGACCAACAGCAGTAGGCTCAGCACCAACGCCCTCAGCACCTCCAGCTCCAGGAGGACCCGCAGGTCCAGCAGCTCCGGAACCGGCAGCACCCGCACCCTCGACGGTCGAAGAAGCTCCAGCTCCAGCTCCAGCAGCACCTCCAGACTCAGCAGCACGCCTCCAGCGGCGAGCGTACCACTCGCGCAGCTCCTGTGGAGAGAGGGGCTCCCGGCGAGACGCAGCAGCAGGAGAAACCCCAGGCTCAGCAGCTCCAGACGCAGCAGGGACAGCACCAGCACCCTCAGCGACAGCACCAGCGCCACCCACACCTCCAGCGGCAGGACCAACAGCAGTAGGCTCAGCACCAACGCCCTCAGCAGCTCCAGCTCCAGGAGGACCCGCAGGTCCAGGAGCTCCGGGACCGGCAGCACCCGCACCCTCGACGGTCGAAGAAGCTCCAGCTCCAGCTCCAGCAGCACCTCCAGACTCAGCAGCACGCCTCCAGCGGCGAGCAAACCACTCGCGCAGCTCATGTGGAGAGAGGGGCTCCCGGCGAGACGCAGCAGCAGGAGAAACCCCGGGCTCAGCAGCTCCAGACGCAGCACCCCCAGGCTCAGCAGCTCCCGACCCAGCACCCCCAGACCCAGCACCTCCAGGCACAGCACCCCCCGGCTCAGCACCCCCAGGCTCCGCACCCTCCGCAGTAGCACCCTCAGGCCCAGCACCCCCAGCAGTAGCACCCCCAGGCTCAGCACCCCCGCGCACAGCACCCCCAGAGTCAGCACCCCCAGGCTCAGCACCCGCAGCAGCACCAGAGTCACCAGTAACCTCGACCGGGTCAACGGCGTCTACCTGGGACACACCTGAGGGGGCAGGAACCTGAGGGGGGAGGGGGTCTACCGGGGGGGGAACCGGCACAAGGAAGTCCGGGGGAGGGGGGAGGGAAGGAGTGCGGTAGGGGAAGAGACGGTAGAAGGGGACTGACTCGTCGAACGTGACGTCCTGGGAGGACAGAACACGACGAGAGGAGGGGTGGTAAAACTGCCACCCTGGGGCGTCAGTGGGGAAGCCAAGGAAGACACAGGGAGCAGCACGAGGGGACAGCTTGTCCGCAGACAAGTCGCGGACAAACGCCCGAGATCCCCAGACACGGAACACAGACGCATCGCCAACCTTCCCCGTCCACAGCAAGGCTGGGGACATCGCAGGCCGAGAGACCCGGGGGTGAAGGTTGAGCTGATGCGCCGCGTACCTCACCGCAAACGGCCACAGAAAATGGGGGGCAGCCGCATGCATCATGGACGTACGAGCGACATCCATGACCATGCCAATGCGGCGCTCAGCAATCCCATTTTGCTGTGGTGAGTCCGGAAGCGTGAAGGTCTGGCGGATCCCCCGTGCACGACAGTAGTCTCGCAGAAGGCGAGAAGAGAACTCTCCGCCTCTGTCAGAGTGCAGACGCAGAACAGGAAAGTCCGAGCCGAAGCTCTTCCTGAGCTGGAGACGAGCCTCGCGGATCCAGTCGATCAGCACCTCAGTGACCTCACCCTTGCTGCGCAAGGGGAGGACTGTGGTGTAACGCGAGTAGTCGTCAACCACCAACAGGAAGTAGCGCTCGTAACCCTGCCCACGGACGGGGGCTGGGCCCCACACATCCATGTGAAGCGTCTGCAGGGGAGCCTCTGTCGGGGGGAAGTGGGAGGAGTGAGGAGTAGCCCGGAGGCGACCCTCGACACAGGGGATACAGGAAGGTCCTGGCCCGGAGGGGAGAGGAGGGAGAGACTGGGGAAGACCAGAGACAAGGACACGGGAAGCCATGCTCCGAAGACGGGGCAAGGAGGGGTGACCAAGACGGTAGCCTATAGGCTAACCCACTGTAGCCTACACAAGCATAACATATATAATGTTTGACACACTAGTGGTCGCGGGTCGCGTCAGCGTCCTCCTCCTGTCCCTGGCACGCACCGGATGTCACTGCGTCTGTCCACTGCTCCTCTGCGTGCCCCTTTGCCTTCTCCTCCTACTTCCTCTCTTCCTGCTCTTGCCGACCCGGAGTCGGACTCTCTTCGTGCTGCCAGTCCTACTGTCACGCGTCTCCTTGCTACTGCTGTCACTGACCCTTCCTTCGAGTCGTCTGCTGCGTCTGCCCTTGTCACTGAGCTTGTCGACTTTGCTGCGCGCTGTCGTCTAGACTACGCTGCTCGTCTTGTCACTGAGTCTGAGTCCGCCTGTCCTCCGTCCGTCGGGGGTGAGTGTGCCCTTGGCACGGACGTCCTTGAGGACAGGCAGGAGGAGTTCCAGTGTCTCGCCGCCGCTTCACCTCGTCTCGCGTCTGTACTGCTAGCCCCTGAGGGAGACCCGGATGCACCAGACATCCCGACTCCGCGCTCTTACGCGGAGGCGATAGAGGGTCCCTACTCCTCTCAGTGGCAGGCAGCTATGGATGCAGAGATGGCTTCCTGGAAGTCCACAGGCACCTACGTTGACGCTGTTCCCCCTCCTGGGGCGAACATCGTCAGTGGCATGTGGATTTTCAGGGTGAAGCGGCCGCCGGGCTCTCCGCCTGTCTTCAAGGCGCGTTACGTGGCTCGTGGCTTCAGTCAGCGGCAGGGGGTTGACTACTTTCAGACCTTCTCCCCCACCCCGAAGATGACCACTCTTCGGGTTCTGCTGCACGTTGCTGCTCACCGTGACTACGAGCTGCACTCTCTCGACTTCAGCACAGCTTTCTTGCAGGGCAGCCTGCACGAGGAGATCTGGCTGCGTCGCCCACCTGGCTTCACAGGGTCTTTCCCTCCTGGTACCCAGTGGAGTCTCCGGCGTCCAGTCTACGGTCTCCGCCAGGCGCCACGTGAGTGGCACGACACACTGAGGACTACGCTCGCGGCACTTGGGTTTGCTCCTTCTACTGCCGACCCGTCGCTGTTTCTGCGCACCGACACCTCTCTGCCGCCGTTCTACATCCTCGTGTACGTCGACGACTTGGTCTTTGCCACAGCTGACACTGCTGGACTCGCCTACGTGAAGTCCGAGCTGCAGAAGAGACACACGTGCACTGACCTGGGTGAACTGCGCAGCTACCTTGGCTTGCAGATCACCCGGGACAGAGCACGCCGCACCATTACCCTGACTCAGTCACACATGGTGCAGCAGGTCCTTCAGCGCTTCGGCTTCACGTACTCCTCGCCTCAGGCCACTCCTCTGCCTACTCGCCACTCGCTCTCAGCTCTGCCTTCGGATGAGTCCGTAGAGTCGAGTGGCCCGTTTGCAGAGCTTGTTGGCTGCCTCATGTACCTGATGACCTGCACACGACCTGACCTTGCATACCCTCTTAGCATTCTTGCACGCTATGCTGCTCCTGGGAGACACCGACCAGAGCACATGGCTGCAGCGAAGAGGGTGTTGCGCTACTTGTGCAGTACGTCGGGCATGGGGCTAGTGCTTGGAGGGCGCAGTCCAGTGGTCCTCACTGGGCACGCAGACGCTTCTTGGGCTGACGACCAGGCTACGCAGCGGTCGTCACAGGGTTACACCTTCAGCCTTGGTTCCGGCTCTGTCTCGTGGCGGGCTACCCGCTCGTCTTCTGTTCTCGGCTCCAGTTGTGAGGCTGAGATCTACGCTGGGGCTATGGCTGCACAGGAGTTACGCTGGCTCACCTACCTGCTGACTGACCTTGGAGAGCAGCCTCGTTCTCCTCCAGTCCTGTACGTAGACAACAAGGCCATGCTGGCCTTGTGTCGAGAGCACCGACTGGAGCACAGAACGAAGCACATTGCTCTCCGCTACTTTCTTGCTCGTGAGCTACAGCAGCGTGGACAGTTGCGACTTGCGTACGTGGCCTCTGAGGCCAACACTGCTGATGTCTTCACCAAGGCACTTGCGCCTTGTGATCATCAGCGTTGCTGCACGCAGTTGGGTCTTGTGCCTGTCTTGCCTCACTTGCTCTCCTCTTGACCTTGCTTGTACCTTCGCATATATATACCCTTGCTCTTGCTTACTTGACTCTTGTATACCTCTATATATGATCTTGCATGTGAACTGGCCTTCTGGCCTTTGAACTTGTGCTCGGAATGCGTGGTGACTTTGTGATCCACCCTGAGCTTTGCTTTGCTTTGCTTGACTGGTCTTGTGACCCCTTGTTCTCCCCCACTTTGCCTATGGGGGTGTGTCAGAACATATAGCTTACTCATTTGTGTAGGCTATAGTGGAGTATCCCATAGGGGGTACAACCCAATTAGGGTTTCCTATTTGTACTCACTTCGTTCATACTCATTTCATTCTCGTTCAATTCTTCTCATACCTCTCTGTAGCCTATCACAAATATGAACATAGTTTGACAGCCTTTCCGCACTGTCCTATCCGTCTTACCACGGTAGGCATGAGATTCCAGTGCCGCTTCTCATACCACAACAGCTGCAGCACCTATGGTTCCGGAAGCGCTACATCCATCTCTTGGCTTTCCCTAGCAGCGGGCAAACACTCGACAACAAACCAACCTATCGTACCGGAGGTACCACATCCATCCCTTGGTTGCCCCTCGCTGGTTTCTCCAGCACGCAGTTCAGATACACATGCGGACCCTTCCTCTCCGTCCTATCTGTCTTCGGCACCAGGTTCCAATACCGCTTCTCGTACCGCAACAACTGTATCACCCACACGTACACCGCCATCTCGTCTTTCGGAGCGTAGAACATCTCAAACCATAGCAGCCCGCCCGGGCGCAGCACCCGGTCCCACTCGAAGAGCATCTCTTCGAATTCCAGCGGCGGCATGTATTTGATACTGTTGATGCTGTGGATTATGTCGAGAGTCCCATCGAAGAAGGGTAACCGTGCCTGGTGAGGGAGGTGGAGCGGGATCAACCCGCGAGCTGCTATGGTTTCCATGTAAGGGAGACCTGGCGCTGCTGCTTCAGCTTCTGCCACCTGTTGTTGCTGTTGCTGTTGTTGGCCTGGTTTGTGTTTTAGAGCAGCGGCTGCCTCTCTGTTGAGGCCGGTGGTCATGATTGTCACGCCGTACCGTGCCATGTGCGCTGCAAAGGTGCCGCTGCCGCCGCCCACATCCAGCCCTATTCTGCACGGTGTGAAAACGAGCGAGAAGATTGCACGAGGAAAAGGCTGTGTTGAAAGACAAGGTTTTGGACGCTCCCACGTACCTTACTCCCTTGAGTTACTCTGAGAATATAAGTAGGAGAAAAGGGAGGAGGAAAAAACAAAACCAACAAGCTCATCCGAAGATTCCTGGAAACCAACAAACTAATGGACGGAAACAGCAAGGTACAGAAAAAAATACCAGAAAAGAGCAGAAGAAAAGAAAAAACCATCTCAAGCTTGGTTCTCCTGGATACAACTGAGGGACTTGGGCTTCATAACGATGGAGCCCTTGTAGGGGGGCTGCCAGCTAGGCAGCGGTGCACCTCATGCACGCTTTGACACGTCTCAAAACAGCGCAACAGAACCACAACAGGCAGGAGCCTTTTCAAGTCGACTCAAGAGGTGCCCACCCGAAAGACGTTGTCTTCATGGTAATAACGTCTGGAATGGCACTGCCAGCGGTGCCAGCGGTGTAGCCCTTGTATGGCCGCTGCCAGCGGTGCACGTCTACGAAACACAACAGTGCCAAAACATGAAAATTCGGGTTTATGGTGATCAGGTTACCACCTGAGCGACTTGGGTTTCATGGCGATCACGTCTTGCATGGCAATGGAGCCCTTGTAGGCGCGCGCTGCCAGCGGTGTTCCTTGTAAGCAGTTGCGATAGGCAGACACACCGGTGTTCAGACACACCGGTGTTCAGACACACCGGTGTTCAGACACTCACACCCACCCACCTGAGCGACTTGGGCTTCATGGCGATGACATCTTGCATGGCAATGGAACCCTTGTAGGCGCGCTGCCAGCGGTGCGCCTCATGCGTCATGTTGAAGCAGTTGCGGCAGTCCGTGGCGCTCTGGCGGTTCAGGCACGCGAAAGAGTGGCACCGGTGCTGCTGCCACCGCACGTTGCCGTCCATCAGAGCCTTCTGTGTGAACAGTGCGTCTGGGACTGGCATGGGCTGGGGGCAGATGGGAGGCAAGAGGGATTGCAGGGTTGGGGATGGGAGTGAGCGGAGGGAGGGAAGGGACTGGAGGGATGAAACGGATGGATGGGTGGAGGGATGGGAAAGGGATGAAACGAATCCCCCTCTCCCCTCGCTTCATCCTTGGCAGGGCGTGGCAGGCCTTGCGACGTCTCTCCCCTCTCCCCTCTCCCCTCTCCCCTCTCCCCTCTCCCCTCTCCCCTCTCCCCTCTCCCGTCTCTCATCTCCCCCCTACCTCCTCCCCCCTCCCCATTCCCCCATACCCCCTCCCCCCTCCCCTCTCTCCCCTCTCCTCTTCCCCTCTCCCCCCTACCTCCTCCCCCCTCCCCCCTCCCCCCTCCCCCTACCCCCTCCCCCCTACCTCCTCCCCCCTACCCCCTCCCCCCTACCTCCTCCCCCCTCCCCTCTCCCCCCTCCCTCTTCCCCCCTCTCCCATCTCCCATCTCCGCTCTCCTCCCCTCCCCTCTCACCTCTCTCGCTGCATCCACTGTCGCAGCGGTGCATCGTCTCCTTGGCAGCACGTGGCATGCTTTATCAAACACCTGCCGCTGCAGCAGCAGCAGCATGGTACCAGTCGCCGTGCGACAGTCGCAGTGGGCTTGGGCGTTGGGCTTGGGTGTTGGGCGTTGGGCGTTGGGCGTTGGACGTTGGGCGTTGGGCGTTGGGCGTTGGACGTTGGGCGTTGGGCGTTGGGCTTGCGACATTGTAATGAGACGAATTCTACAAGCAAGCCTCCTCACCTCTCTCGCTTCATCCACAGTCGCAGCGGTGCATCTCCTCTGTGGCAGCGCGTGGCACGCCTTGTCAAACAGACACATACTGGTATCACCTTTGAGAATTCTCTAACCCCCTCTCCACCCCCCCTCACCTCTCTCGCTTCATCCACAGTCGCAGTGGTGCATCTCCTCTGTGGCAGCGCGTGGCACGCCTTGTCAAACAGACACATACTGGTATCACCTTTGAGAATTCTCTAACCCCCTCTCCACCCCCCCTCACCTCTCTCGCTTCATCCACAGTCGCAGTGGTGCATCGCCTCTGTGGCAGCGCGTGGCACGCCTTGTCAAACAGACACATACTGGTATCACCTTTGAGAATTCTCTAACCCCCTCTCCACCCCCCCTCACCTCTCTCGCTTCATCCACAGTCGCAGTGGTGCATCGCCTCTGTGGCAGCGCGTGGCACGCCTTGTCAAACAGACACATACTGGTATCACCTTTGAGAATTCTCTAACCCCCTCTCCACCCCCCCTCACCTCTCTCGCTTCATCCACAGTCGCAGTGGTGCATCGCCTCCGTGGCAGCGCGTGGCACGCCTTGTCAAACACCAGCCGCTGCACGAGCAGCCAGTCGTCGGGGCACGGCCCGCGGGGGGTGAAGTTGAAGAAGCGCCGCATGTCCGCTGCTGTCGCTGCACAGCGGTAGGCGTGCGGGCCGGTTGCTGCCGGGGATGATGCAGCAGCAGCAGGGGGGTTGTACTGAGATAGAGCTTTCTCCGCTGCTTGCAGAGCCTGGGCAAGGGGGAATGGAGGAAAAGGGGGGAGATCGGAAAGGGGGGAACGGGGGAAAAAGGGGGGAATGTTTGAGGAGAGAAGGGCAGGTTGGTGGAAAGAGGGGGGTTTAGGGCATGGTAGGCCTTGTTAAACCAGTACGCATGTCTGCTGCTGTGGCAGCACACCGGTATGTGTGCGGACCGGACCGGACCGGACCGGACCGGACCGCTTGCTGCTGGGGATGCTCCTGCGGCTGCTGCAGGGGGGTTTTAGTGAGCTAGCGCTTGCCCTGCTGCAACGAGAGCCTGTGGGAAAAAGGGGAAAAGTGGGGAAATGGGGGGAGGGGGGGGTGATGGGACGGGGCAGGTTGGTGGGGGGGTTTAAGGCGTGGCTGGGTGCAGCAGGTGGGTTGTACTGGTCTCGCCCTTGCTTCCCTCCCTCCCTCCCTCCCTCCCTCCCTCCCTCCCTCCCTCCCTCCCTCCCTCCCTCCCTCCCTCCCTCCCTCCCTCCCTCCATTCACACGCACCTCGTGCGATACAGTGTCATCACTAAAGGCTGCCCGCTCCTTCATCTGGCTCTCCAGGTGCAGATTCTCCGCCTGTAGCCGCGCCACCTCGCGCTGGGGGCAAGCAACAAGAGGGGCCGGGACGGGAGGGCAGGGAGGAAAGGATGAAGGATCAGGGGCATAAGAGAGTTCCCTTCATCTGGCTCTCCAGGTGCACATTCTCCGCCTGTAGCCGCGCCACCTCGCGCTGGGGGCAAGCAAGGAGAGAGGAGGGGCGGGAAGGGAGAGGGCAGGGAGGAAGGGAGGCCAGGGGACGGGGGGGGAGGAACTGGATTTCATCTGGCTCGCCAGGTGCAGATTCTCCGCTTGAAGGCACGCCACCTTGCACTGTGTAAGGGGGGGTGGGGCTGGGGGGACGGGGAGGGAGAGGAGGGGAAAAGGGGGAAGGAGGAAGGAGAGCTGCCTTCATGTGGCTCTCCAGTTGACTTTTGAGGCAACAAGAGTCGACTCAAAAGCCAACGTGCCTCTCCAGGTGCAGCTTCTCCCTGCTGGTGCTACCTGCTGCTGCTGCTGGTACTTACTTCCGTTCCGTGCTACCTTGTGCTGCTGCTGCTGCTGCTGCTGCTGCTGCTGCTGCTGCTGCTGCTGCTGCTGCTGCTGCTGCTGCTGCTGCTGCTGCTGCTGCTGCTGCTGCTGCTGCTGCTGCTGCTGCTGCTGCTGCTGCTGGTGATTTTTTAGCATTCTCTGCTCAGGAGGTTTTGGGGGATTCTTGTAAGCATTCTCGTCTCAGGAGCTTCTCTGCCTGCAGCCGTGCTACCCTGTCTGTGCTGGAGGTATGTACACACATGTGGGCACACGGGGTGTAAGTGAGGAGCAGGCGTGAGTGTGGGGGAGAATCTAAAACTTCATAGAGCAGAAGATTCTTTCTTTCTTTCTTTCTGTGGCTCTGAAATTGCAACTGCAGGTGCACCTCTGCCGCTTCATCCCCTCCCCTTCTCCCTCTCTCCCTCTCTCCTTCTCCCTTCATCTTTTTCCCTCCAACCCCTTCCCCGCTTCTTCCCCCTATCCCCGCCTCTCCCCCCCTTTCCCCCCCTCTCACCCGGAGTTCCAGTAGTTCTTTCTCCACCATCGCCGCGCTCACCCCCTCAAACGGATTCCCCCCATCCGCGGGCTCCGCCCTCCCCCCCGCCGCCTCCCCTTCCGCCTGCCCCTCCGCGCGTGCCTTGGCCGCGCCCAGCAGGCGCGACAGCTGCGCCTCGCAGCGCCCCAGCTCCGCGAACAGCCCCGCCGTGCTGGCGGAACTGCGCACGTCCGCGTCGGTGCGTGCAAGGAGAATGTCGCTGGGGAGGGGGAATCGGCGCGGGGGGAGAGGGGGAACCGGCGCGGGCGGAGGGGGAGGGCGTCCGGAAGCGGGAGTCGCGGAGAGGGAAATTTGGCGCGGGAAGCGGATGGAGGAGAGGGAAAGGACGGACGGGGAAGGAGAAGGGGGAGCGGAAGGGGGAAGCGCAGGGCATAAGCGCCAAAGACTTGGCGCATGGCCACATTGGAGGGAGCCTTAGAAGGACGTAGAGCAAAATTGTACATTCTATATCCCACACGATATCCCACCTTTGCTGCTGCGCGCAACCCCCGGAGCCGAGCCCGAGCAGCGGCACGCCGGCGAAGAGCGAGAGGCAGTAGAGCAGCACGAGGAGCGCCGCCAACGCCGCTACTGCCACGGCGCCGCTGACGCCAGGCCCTTTCCACGTCGGCGATGACATCGGAATGGTGGAACGGTGGTGTTATCAGCCTTGGTGTTACCAGTTTGAGAACTACAAGTTTGGTGGTACAAGACTCGAGAGTTTATATGGGGCACATAATGCAAACAGCACGGCACGCGCGGTGCCTTGCCCGTACGCTCTGCGGAAAGGGTTGACTTGACAGGACCTGAACGAGATTAATATTCTCCCAGGACCACTACGCGGTTCTAAGAACGTCCAACCACTCTCTAGGCAACTAATTCTGCTCCCGCGACGTGTTTGGTGCTTGCTTTCACCGCGCTTTTTGCTACCAGGGAGGTGCTGTTCCCGAAAAAAGGAGTTTAGATGTGGCGACGCGTCGCGTTAGGTAGGCGGTGAATTTTGTCCAGGGGACATGCGAGGTGGGGGTGGTAGTTGGTTGGTTGCGACTGTATTTGTACTGTTCGATAGAAGCTGGAATTTGGGATTGTTACAGGAATATTGAGTTGATGCTGTATGATAAACAAAATTGGCACTCTCTCTTCCAGTAATTAATGCTTCCTAAAATTGCACTTTCCTGTTTCTCGTGCCAAAATACCAAGTATGCTGGACGCACGTCGGAAAATTTCATTTGTACAGAATCCACGTTCACTGCAATATACAAATTGCTATGCTATACAGAAAATGTACACATGTTGAAATCCTTCCCAGCACTACTATTTAGGCGGCAGCAGAGGAAGTCTTGTACTGCTGCTCCTGCCAGCCGGGCCCTCCTCCAGTCCCAAGAACCCTAGCCGTGCCCTCATAAGCAGAGTGCGTGACGTGGCTCACTTTGTCACCCACGTACTCAGTTGCGCCCTTCACGCCGCCTGCCACGTAATCCAGGGACTCCGCTCCAATGGGCTTCTTCCCGCGCATGTAGTTGATGAACCACACGAGCGACCCCACGCCCATGGCCGTCATCGTCGTCATAAAGAGTGCTCCGCCTGAAACCACAGCAAAATGTAACAAAAGAAAAAGAAGCCCAAACACCATGAGTAGCTTCCCAGCCGTGGGATCAGGGCATAGTTCTTCCGCTACCGAGTACAGCGAAATCGTAGGCACGCAGCGACTAAACTGAACGAAGCGCGTAACCAAATCGAGCAAGCCCGAATGTCAGTTCCACGATTGATTTTTTCTTTTACCTCCAACGACGGTGCCGAAGATGGCGAGCGGGACGAGGATCGGGGAGAAGAGAAGCAGGAGCGGCGATATGAGGAGGAGAAAGCCGCCTCCGCCGATAACTGTAGTGGCAGTTACCACCGTTGCGATGGTACCCGCGATGCCAAGGGTACCCAGCAGGAAGAGGATATCCCTGGGGGGTGAGGAGGGAAAGAGGATTCGTGCAAAAAAAACAAAGTTACCATCAAGATTGGGCGATACTACATATCTCGTAGTAGACCGAGCGCTGAAAGACTGTGTGCAATATGAATCCGCAAAAACACCGCCTCGACGCTACAACGACCAGCGAAGGGAAGGGGGTTGAGTGGATTTGTGATGACTACCTGGTCCGGTACCCCTGCTGACTGGGCAGCATGTGCTTCCCCTCGCCGCGACCGCCGCCGTACATGGTTGTCACAGCCAGATTAACGAGCAAGAGAAATGGATGCGAGAACACTCGCAACGGAGGCGAGAAGAGAATAAACTGGCTGAATTAAGCGAGGAATCAGGAGGCGAAAAAAGACGGATGAAGACTCCACGATTGCTGGCTCGTTTTTGTATCAGCGAGCAACTAAGTTGCGAGTCGTCGACGCGTTCGCGTCGGTCGTCCGTGCAAAGCGCGAGATCGCAATGGACGACAACGCCAACACGCTAACGCAGGGAGAAGCATCGGGGAGAGCGAATGGGGAAATTGGAGAAACTAGACAAAGCAGCTGGTGTAGTTGGCGAAATCGGAATGCGCGGTGCGACGAGCTGGATCGTACAAATGTTCGCTGGCGAGGGAGCTTGGCGAGGCATGGCGGTCTGCGTGTGAGCAAGATTTGGGGTTGGTGGAGCTCTGGGTCCGTGCTTATCCGCCACGTGCGAGCTTATGAGTAGTTGTTTCTGTAACACTTGAGTCATGTCCCTTCAAAGAGAACTGCTGTACAGAAAAATACAGTGAATGCTTCCACTCCATGAATTATACAGATAGTAACAGTATTCTACACTATGACGCAGGGCATGTGCTAGGTTTTGGGGCATCCTGAGGCCTCAGGGCAACTTTCCAGAATCTGAAAAAATGCCCTGATTTGTCAGGGCAACTTTTCGGAGGCTTCCTGTAATTTCAGGGCTTCTACAAAAAAATATCCTGGCCTGTCAGGGCAAAAATGTAAGCGATCAGGGTTCATGATAGTTGGTCGGCAACCAGGTTGAAGCTGCAGATATACCTGCACGGGGGAGGGTTCGATCCGAGAACCTCATCTCTCGTAAGTAACTTTCTACTGCCTAGGCCATTTCTGGATGTCAATGGACTAGCACTATGAAACCTAGGGGCGGCCCTGCTGGAGGAAAATCCGATGAAGCAGTGGCTGATGGAGAAAGCGGCAAACATGCCCCTGGGCTGGGCAACACTACTAGCACACAAAGCAATCCTCGCGGAGTGGAAGGACGGCAGTGAACGATGGCAATCACTGGTGCCGTTACTATGGGAGAAGCAGCTGCCGGAAATACCCGAACCTGCGGACAAGTGGAGATGGAGGAAGAACACCTGTGGTTCAGCAAATGGATTCACTACCAAGGGGAGAGCCCATTCGGAAGGCAGAAAGGCTCGGAATGTTTGAAGGGCCTAAGAGTGGGTGACTTACTGCAGGAGGAGTATGATGGGAGTTGGAAGGTGAAGGACCTGTGGACGCTGACCAAGCAAACAGGACGATCGTCCACGGCAAGATGGGCGCTAAGGGCCTGGAAGGCAGTCCCGGAGAGCTGTAAAATAAAATTACCTACGAAATTGTCGGCGGCGGAAATTGCGGAAATCACGACCCTGGTCAAAGTGGGGAGAACGGTGGAAGGAAGGCAGAATTATTTTCAAGTGACGCTGTCGGACAAGGAAGAACTTAAGTGTGAAAGGGTGGCTGTGGACTCCAAGGGGAAGATAACACATACGGGGGTAGAGGCGCAGACACCGTCGCAGATCAGCATACTGACTCCGATGGTGGCGTGCGAAGGATATGTGGTAGGGAAGGCGGGTGACCCACTGACGCGACTAAGGACTTAGTTTCTATGTGAGGAGGGCAAACCAACGGCTCAAAGAAAGCTGAGGCACCTACTCAAGAAGCCGGTGCAGCAGCCAAAGTAGCAGAAAAAGTGGGAAGTGAGCTGGGGAGGGAAGATTGACTGGGAGAGGGCTATCAGGAAAAGGGTCTCGTTGGCCGTCCCAGCCAAGGCACGAGAAGTTTTGCTGAGGTTGCACAGCCACAACCTCCAAGTGGGCAGCAGGCTGGCCTTTTTTGGCTCGCGCGCATGCTGCCCGCACTGCAAGCAGGAAGAGTCGCCCACCCACTGCCTGATGAGCTGCCCGGTGGTGAATGGAATTTGTGGCGCGCTTCAGGACTCACTGCGCCTGATCAACCCAGCAAGAGCAGTAGGGACACTAGGCGAGCTGCTATTCGCCGACGACAGCACAACCTCCGATTTCCCGGAATCGACACTGATTGCGCTCACCTTCAGACACATCTAGCTGGAGAGGTGTGACGCGGTCTTCCGGAAGAAAAGTTTCGAACCCAAGCGAGTGGCTAGGAAGATTGGGGCAAATTTCAGGAGGCATGTGCGGATCTACAATGAGGGATGCGGAGGCAAGGAAGGGCAGAGGAAGAGAGGAGCTAGCGAAGCTGCCGCACTGAGCCGTATCTGTGTACAAGACGAACAACTGGCGTGGAACAGTGCTTTCAACTCGATATGGGAGAGACCCAGGACTTTCTTTAAGCCACCGTGGATGGCTACAGGAAAGGCAGTACAAACCGCAAGTCGGTAGCCTGCTCCTTCCCTCTTCTTCCAGTTACGACTGTGGATGTAATGCATTGTATAGTGTAATATGTCCCAAAAAAAAAACAATAAAAAAGAGGCGACGAAATCGTCTTAGGGTTGCGAAGCTGTTTTGCCATTTTTAGTATTTGGTTTGGTTTTCATCTTATACGAAATGTTAGACTCCTTCTAAAGGAATGCTTCTTCAGTTGAAGTTGGTAAAATGGTCGCAAGAAGAATCGAATCCAAAACTTTCCAATCGCAAGACTTACCTTCCATCGACTGCGCTACATGTAGCAAACCACAACTTGGTTATATGTACTAAGTCAAATAATATTGCGCGTGAACAGATCTAGGGTTTCGTTTTCATGTTCCTCTCTCTTCCTCTCGTGACTGAAGCCTTGCCTCCTCGCTGGTGGAGTTTGCTTGATACCCTCTCGCTGTTCAAGCTCTACCTACCACTTCAAGGTGAGGAAGATAGAAGCTATTAACTAGAACTAACTAGATGATTATTAGCTAGACTTAGTTTTCGTCATCTCTTCGGTTTAGGTTGACGAAATCGTGGTTAGGTTTCGAGATTTCGTTTTTCCTTCCTCTGAATCTCTCTCCTTTCTTCACGCTACTCTCACCTACCACGGTTCTTTCTATCTGTCTATGCACTAGTAGATCTACATCAAGATTTTTCTCTCTTTTGTATCTCCCGTTCTTGATCTCCCTTGGTTAGTTCTTTAAGACCTTTCCAACTTTCTGTTTTGTTATCTTGCCTTCGTTTTTGTTACCTCTGTTCTGTCGCCTATTCAGGTTTCCATCTTTTCTACTCCTTCGCTTCTATCTTTATCCGCTATTCTTATCTCTCTTCACCGTTTCCCTCCGTTTGTGTCTCTCTTTCGTTTCCCCTGTTTTATCCTTCCATTGTCGTGTCAGATTTATATGACATAGTTGCTGTAGGCTATAGTGGGGTAGCACATATAGGGTACAGGGTTTCTAGGGTTGTATTTGTACCCAATCTTTCCTTAGTCATTTCATTCCTGCTTACTCATTTTCACATGGTATAGAGCGGG